TTTCTGGTGAAGTAGAAAGCACGTAAATGTTACTGTTTAATCATCCACTTTCCATACGCAACATCAGCTCACGGGTACCACAGATAAGTTTGCCAAAGATCTCTGACAAAGTTTAGACACGTGAAGCTTGCAGCTCCCATTACATCGCTATGACCAAGAAGGGTAAAAGAATAGCAAAGAAACAACACTAACAAAGTTTAGACACATAAAGTTTGAAGGTCTAGCTACCATATTATTACCCACAAGGGTAAAGGAACAGGACCACTGCTGGATAATTGGAAAGTCCATGTGTGTCAACCTTTGTGCTCCGTGGCAAGGTAGACTAGCAAACAGGCTAACCTTTACTCACATTCGAGAAAACACTCCCAACAAGATTGCTTGCTTCAAGTTCGAAGAGGCACCGCCCTCCGAATCTCGAGAGCCAGACTCCCAATATGATTACTTTCTCAAAAATCGAAGAGACACTGCTCTCCGAATCTCGAGAGCCAGACTCCTAGTAGGATTGCTTTCTCAAAAATCGAAGAGGCACCGTTCTCTGAATCTCGAGAGACAGATCCCCGACAGGATTGCTTGTTCGAAAACCGAAGAGGCACCACTTTCTCAACTTCGAGAGCCCCGTATATAAAGCTTGTCTGTAATCTTCACACCGTTTTCTCAACTTTGAGAGCCATATCTCCTTGGATAAAGCTTGTCTGTAATCTTCACACGCAACATCAGCTTTCCAGATACCACAGACCACTTTTTCAAAGTGCTCTGACAGAGTTAAAACACGTGAAGCTGGCTGCTCCTACTACCGTGCTATGACCAAGCAGGGTAAATGAATAGCATTACTACTTGTTAGGGAGACTCCTATATATGTCGACCTCCATCCCCAACGGACAGGCAGACCTGCAAAAATGTTCAACCCTTCCTCATATCTGAGAGGGCACTCCCAACGAAACCTCTCGAAATACTCAGCTTTCTTTCCCCCCGATAATACCTCTGCAAACAAGCTACACCAGAGCAAGAATATCTCATATCATCAGGGTTAAAAGCAAGAGTATCTCATATCATGCTTTTTCCCTGTCTTTTCCTTTGGCCTTGTTCTTACCTGCAAGACAAGGAGAAAGAGAGCAATCAGTCAGCACTTGGAATCAAGCTTCCAGTCAGGAAACTGACTGCCTGGAACCCCTTTACCTGATTACTTACCTGGCATTGCTCTCGAGTACTCATCTTCAACATCTTATGCTTCCAGAGAAGATACCACATCTGCCTGAGGAACAGATAGGGCAAGTGAGAAGGATACAAGGAAGCATGTGGAGACAAGCGTAACAGAACACGTGCCGATACATCCACTACTTTGTCAACAGCAAAAGTATCCCATATCAGCAGGGTCGAACGTACTCTAGATTTGATGGACTTGTTTTGACCCTCAAATTCTTCAATCGGCCTTATACTCTGGAGGAAACCAGAAAACCCTCCAGCCTAGTTCAAGAATAAACCTGTGGAAAGTTACTTCTTTAAAAGCAAAAGTATCTCATATCACCTCTTCTCCTTTTCTTCTCTTTATCCTTCATGCTGTCTGCAAGATAGGGAGAATGAGAACAATCAGCCGGAACTCGAAATCAAACTTCTGATCTGGGACTGATTGCTTGGAGCTCTGATTGCTTACCTTGTCTGTCACCTCTTTCAGCAAATCCCCTAGCTCGGCGACTTGGGGGACTCCTACTACATGGTTTGTATCACGCTTGACCAAGCCTGAAACTACAAGTAAGCGTCAAGTGAAATTGATACATTACTTTGTGCATCTCCACCAGTTAAAGATACCATCTCCCACAATATTTCCTGATGTCATTTATACTAAATCATTCACTTGTACCCACTAAAGGAGAGCTTGAACCTATGTACTGTGTAAACCCTTCACAATTAATGAAAACTCCTCTACTCCGTGGACGTAGCCAATCTGGGTGAACCACGTACATCTTGTGTTTGCTTTCCTATCTCTATCCATTTACATACTTATCCACATTAATGACCGGAGCAATATAGGGAAGATCACAAACTTAATACTTTCTGTTGTACCAAAGTCTTCACTGCTTTTGTGCATCAACAATCCGTAAGTCCTTACCTTTTTGCGTTGGTAATGGATGAGTTAACATGACATATTTAAGATGATATTCCTTGGTGTATGCTTTTCGCAAACGATATAGTGTTGATAGATGAAACTCAGGAAGGGGTAAATGCGAAGCTTAACCTTTGGAGAGAAGTGTTGGAATCTAAAGGTCTTCGCCTAACCCGATCAAAGACAGAATATATGAAGTGCAAGTTCAGTGCAAACGGATGCCAAAATGAGTTAAGGGTGAGGATCAGAGATCAGGAAATACCAAAGAGCGACCATTTTCGCTACCTAGGATCTATCTTGCAAAAGAACGGAGAATTTGATGGAGATCTTAACCATAGAATACAAACTGGATGGATGAAGTGGAAGAGTGCATCCGGCGTGTTGTGTGACCGTCGTAGGCCATTGAAGCTCAAAGGGAAAATTTATAGGACGGCAATAAGGCCAGCGATGCTGTATGGCACAGAATGTTGGGCGGTGAAGCATCAACACGTAGGTGTAGCGGAGATGAGGATGCTTCGTTGGATGTGTGGGCACACGAGAAATGATAAGATTAGGAATGAGGATATCCGAGGTAAAGTTGGAGTAGCCGAAATTGAAGGAAAGATGAGAGAAAATCTGTTACGGTGGTTTGGACATGTGCAAAGAAGGCCTATTGACGCTCCGGTTCGAAGATGTGACTACGGAACAGAGGTTCAGGGCCGAAGGGGTAGAGGAAGACCTAGGAAAACTTTGGAAGAGACCCTAAGAAAAGACTTAGAGTACTTGGATCTAACGGAGGACATGACACAAAACCGAGCGCAATGGCGTTATAGGATTCATATAGCCGACCCCACTTAGTGGGAAAAGGCTTTGTTGTTGTTGTTGTTGTTGTTGTTTTGCATTCTGCAGAGCAGCGAGGACATACATTCTCTGTGTGATTTTCTTCATGCTTTCATTTTCATTATTAATCATCTTCCCCCCAGTCCTCATATTCATTGAGGTTTCATAAACCAGAATAAAAGAAGCGCTAACAAATTCTTTTCCAGATGTAGTATGTCAGTACAAAAGGAAACAAGGGTGAGGAGAAAGAGGTAGGCATTCACATGGTTCGAATGAAGTTTTTGATATAATAGTTTTATATCTTTCTTAGTAAATAAAGCATAAATTTCCTTAGTAGCAAAAAAGTAGCATTTGGAAGAGAAGCTTACACGTTGAGACTCGGCGGCCAAGCAGGTACAGGTCCAGTCAGCAAGTTTCCGGTTAAGAATCTAAAAATAATGAATACAGAAAAACTCAGTAAAGAATATAGTGTTTGTTCTTAGGAATTTCTTTTTATAAGGTTTGAAAATTTGAGTTTGCCAACTCTGAGTGCATTAGATCAGTACTTCCACCTGAAAGCCACATCTGATGGTGATCACCTTATGTCAGTTAATTCCATGAGTAGTAATGACTCTAATGAATAAACTGAACTTTATTGCAGTATAACCCGTGACTCTTAATTATAGTAATCGTGATTGGAAATACTTCCAGCTTGTCAGGCTGGGGTGTAACAAAACCATTGAAGAATGTCTGCTTGAATTTCATGTAAGAAAGATTAGATTGGTCATTTGCTTACATATAAGTCACATATGGTAGACTACCGAAGCTGCTTGGAATTTCTCCGGTCAGCTTGTTAAAGCTGAGGTCTCTGCACAAACAAATAGCAAATGCAGTTTAGATGTGCCCTCTGCAGAGAGGGAAATGACATATGAAAGAGATGTTCTCTTAATAAATACAGAAACATAAAGTCCGCCCTACATTGTCTAAGTCACTTCAATAATCATTGAATTAGTAGAATCACATCCAGAAGAAATTTTTTATTTGAAGACGGAAAAATAAGGGACTAAGACATTAGTACATACAAAGTTACCAATTTGTTCATTTGCTCAAGATATGGAGGTATCTTTCCAATCAGATTGCAACTCCTCAACATCCTGCAACAGACACCAAAGCTTTGAGTTTACAGAAGACTTCTGGTACAGACAAAAATTGTGTGTCATGGAACCATTAACTCACAGTGTCCTCATGTTTTTCATCTTATTCAGCGAAGGAATGGGTGATTCAGGTCCACTCAAGTCAGTGATTCTCCTGCAAGTTAAAATTGAGCCATGAACATAAACTACGCATTTCGCTAATCATTTTGTATTTAAAAATAGAGAAGGGATATACTAACAAGTCAGTTAAGTTTGTCGAAAGAGAAATGCCAGAAGGAATTGGCCCTGTCAAACCGCTAGCCCGAATCACTCTGTTTCAACGAGTCATAACATATGAATTAGAGATGAAATTCAGAATCAAATAGCAGAAAGATGACACACAAAAGAAAAATACTCACAGTTTTTCAAGATTTGTCCAGTTCTCAATAAAATCAGGTATCTGCCCGGAAAAGTGACTGTCACAAACCCGACTGCATAATGATTGGAAATGGGAAAATACTTCGAATTAGTATCAGAAAGCAGTGAAAAAAATGTACAAGTGCTCATGAAACCTTTAAGAAGGAAAAACCACAGAAGCTTACAAGTCCTTTATTTTGGTAAGCATTGCAAATGTTTCTGGCAACTCCCCGGTAAAGTTGTTTGAGGAAAGCAGCCTAAGTATGAAATAGATATAACAATATATCAATGATAAAGAAGTAGATGATTTACTGGTGAAAACATCCAGAATTTGTATACAAGAAAGAAAATTCCAAATAAACCAAATACTTTTAACTCGGTAAAATTTGAATAGGACTCTTACATTCTTTCTATGTTGGCCCAAGATCCAAGCTCCTGAGGGAGAGGTCCAGAGAAATTATTGAAACTGATGTCCCTATACAAACAAATTCAATTCCATTGATTAAAAAAACATCATTAAGGATCTCCGCAGAATCACATGGGGTAAGCAAGAAACAAATGCTCAATTAACACTCACAACTCTTCAGGGTGGTGATGTCTCCAAGCTCTTTGGGGATAGAACCCGTCAAACGATTTCCAAGAAGGGATCTGCATCAAAAACTATAGTCTTAAGATCACTTTTATCAAGCAAGAGGCTCAAAAACATTAACATGTTCGTCAATACGAAGGCAATGAACCCCATGTGTTCGATTCAATATTTATGATTCAAACGCCTCATGACCACGGAAGCCCATCATGAAAAAAACTCAATGTAGTAGATTCATAGTTTAAGAAAGAAATGGCTGAAGAACATTGGAATGACCAAATAAAGCAATAAGAACATGACATGAACATCAAACACAAAAATGCATGCAGTTTGAGAGAAGACAGTACATGTTCAGAAGTGGAAGAGAGCTCCATTCTGGAGGGATGGTACCGCTCAGGTAGTTGCGGTTGAGGTCGCTGAAGGAGAAAGAAAGAAACCAGTTATTGTCTCGTTGACAACAGAAATAAAGGTAAGCTATATATGAAATTAGAATAAACCATTTACACGACACATAGTTATTTTCTTTTTACTTTTAATAATGTAAACTTGGAGGGGTAAAAATATGCTTACATTTCTTGAAGATAGGTGAGATTTACCAGCTCTACTGGGAGTGTTCCTTGCAAATCTTGGGATCTTAGAATTCTGTGTTTCATTGGAAAACAGGTTTCAAAGATCAGTTGCAAATTAAATATCTATTACGCATCTATACTGTGACTAAAAGAAAAAGCTGCCACATAAATGAGACCAAACAGTTAAAACGCTTTGTGTAGACATTATACAATCTAACAGGATGTTACGTGGACGTAGACCTTTATTGTTTTTTTTCTTTTAACGTTATTCTTATAACAAACACTGAAAAACTTTGATCTTATCCTTCTCAACCTTTCACAACAAAAGGCGCCTAATCTATACGTTGCTTTTTCTTTATTTTCTCAACTCTTTCTTTATTTTTCTCTTAATAGTTCTATATATCATGAGATGGAACTCGTTCAAAACACAACGAGCAAACTATTTATCCAGAAAAGAAAATTTTAATGAGCAATTTTTAATGGCTTAAGAAATAAGTCAATCAATGACAATTCTATATAACCCAACGTTTATTTTCCAACTTATGTTCTCTTTATCACATTAAGTTTTTTTTTAATAAACAATTATCTACATTAAGGCATGAGAGAGTAGTTTAAACCTCACAATGAGTTAGTAATAATATGGTTCCAATACATCTTTGGTGAGAATCGAACCTAAAACATCTCACTTACAAGTAAAAAAAGGCTAAGTGACACATTAAGTACTTAAATTGGTGTTTATTAACGCAATAATCTTATATGCATATTATGTGTCAAATAAATTGAAAACAAAGAATCACCTATTTATCTCGGTAATCTATTATTAACAACTTCTTTCCAACTCTTTTCACTATAAAGTAACATTCTATATTCACAACGTGTCTCAAACAAGAGAACTATACAAACATAAAACTATTCTTATATATATATATATATATATCTTTCCAACTCTTTTCACTGTAAAGTAACATTCTATAGTCACAAGGTGTCTCAAAACATAAAACTATTCTTATATATATATATATACACACACACTAGCACATGGGCACACACAAAGTGTAAGGAATTTTTTTTTTTTTTTTTTTGGTTTTTGAAATAGGAGAGAGGAAGGGAGTGATAGAGAACATGGGAATTTTTTTTTTTAATTAGAGATATGTTAGAATTATATATAAGTGATGTTTTGAAAAAAAAAACAGCAAGATTTGGTTGTGTGAAATTACATTTCTACCTCATATTTCTTATTCATGTTCTGTTTTAATTAAAGGGTTAAACTGGTAATTTCATAAGATTTTGGTTGACAATAAGTGTTTTATTAATTAGTAGAGAGAGAGATATATATATATATATATATATATATATATATATATATAATTGTTATTAGCATCTCAAAATTCTCATTACACTCCAAACTTTCTATATTAGGAAAAAAAAACATTTGTGCATGTAGAATGAGATTTTTGGAATGTTAATAACACTTCCATATATATATATATATATATATATATATATATATATATATTAACGATATGTTCTCTATGGTGAAACAGAAAAAAGAGTGTAGAATGAGATTTAATGGTACTTCTCTTATTAGATTTTACTAACTAGTTGATGGTCTAATGGTACTTCTCTTATTAGATTTAAAAGATGTACCAAATTCAAATTTGTCTCCCCGTTAATAAAAAAACAAGTAGTATTTTAATTTCTTAATTCTAATCGAAGTAAATATCCCCAACGATCTAATAATATTCCGGAAAAACCTTTGTCGGTGGCACCAATAAATACACATCAATTTAAATCACAAAAAGCCGACAAGAATATTTGGTATCAGCTTGTGAGATGTGGAAAAATTCAAAACATAGAACACGTGTCATTATATAAGTAAAAGAAAGTTTTATTTTTCAAATTATATTAATTTTTTAACATAAATAACTTACAATTTATATAATGATTCCAGGCAAATTAAAAAATCTCACTTAATTCTGAGTTGGGCATGTTTGTTTTTGAGAGAGAGAGAGAGAGAGAGAGAGAGAGAGAGAGGTTTACATTCCGGTAATATGGCAGACAGTGGAGGAGCAATTACAGCTGATGGCATTCTCAGACTGCTTTGGAGTAAGCGTTTAGATCAGTCCATGGAAGTTGGCCGCTGCATGGATCTGCGTCTCCACTGAAATCCCAGTTCCGTCTTCCCCAGTGTCTTTGCTATGTCTTTCCAAAGTTTGCACTGCATATACGCAAAATAAAAGGCAAGCAAATTAACATCGTGCTCAACAAAATGGTAAAAAAAAAAAATTGATGCATAGACAAGAACTACAGAGTGCACCTTCAGCATCATATGATTGAAAATTTCAACTAAGTTCACACAAATATCAGTTTACCTAAGGTCCATTTGATAACCATTTTAAATTTCAGTTTTTAATTTTTAGTTCATTGGTAACTGTTTTCATTTCTCCGAAAATTGTAAACTGAAAACCAAAATCAACCCAAACCAAATTTTGGAAAACTCAAAAAAATTGAAAACTAAAAGATTATCAAACGAACTTAAAACTATCATTTATAGAATGAAACAAAGGAAACTAAGGAAGATATTTGACGTAAAGATATTGAGGTGAATTACTCGTACCTTCATCATTTGGCAATCGAGTAGCTCCAAGGGCAAAAGTTACAAAGCAAGCTACAAAGAAAAGAGAATGAGGAAGAAGTCGAGGGAAGAACATATTCATCATTTCTCTAAGCAAAGTCTTTCACATTTGAAGAGAAAACCAGAGACAAAATGATCAGTTTGTGCAGCTAGGCTGGATGGAATTTGTTGGATTGTATGTATGAAAAGTTGTGAGAGTGGCAAAGAAAGAAAGAAAGAAAGATTTGTGAGGAGAATGAGTCTGAATTACAGCTTTTTATTCGCTTGAGGGGAGGGAAGGAGTGGACCTCGAAGGACACAAACGGAAGTCAATGACTTGTGTTAACCTTACTTGCCCCTTAAAACCAAAGACCAAACAAGAAAGGGAAAAAAAAAAATTATTCCCAACCACTTACTATATTTATTTTTATTTAATTATTTATATAATTAAAGATACATTTACATAATTTGAGTTTAGCCAAGCTAGTTGCGTCATTGTGTTTTATCTTACACAAAGTTTGAATTCCGCTTACTGTAATTTAGTTAAATTTAATATAATTATCTTATTGTTTGACAATGGATAGACGCCTTAGTAATATGTTAAAAAGATTGGTTTTGCGGGTAATGACTTGTTAAACTTAAGTTATTATATTATATTAGAATTTTATTATAAGTGGTCCATGAATATGAGTGTTGCAAATCAATGTTGTCTTCTGGCTGAATTTTGTTAAAAAAAATCTATTATATGTTGATGTGACAAACATAAGACTTTGCACTCCAATAATATGATGACACATGGATTAAATAAAGTGTTTCAAAAATTTAAAAAGGTAAAAAGAAGAAAAACAACAAACTAAAAATCCTCATCTTCTCCTTCTTTTTTGAACTCAGCCACCAACAACAATCTCCATATTTATAGATAACATTGATCAATTTTCAATTTCATATATCATTTTGATACGTTTGTTAATTTCAGGGACCATCTGTGATAAAAATATGAATTTGACTACAATATTTACATATTAATACAATAAATATCTTTAAGATATAATTTGGCCACCTATTTAAATGTTAATTATGCAGAATGTCTAAAGGATGAACTTTCTAGAAAAGAAATCCATATTTGTGTCTCAAATTTTATCTATTAGCTTAACAGTGCTGTTCATGTCATGTTTCTAAAGAAATAAATTGTGTCCAACACCATTTGAAAATGAAAAAAAATAAGAGAACTTTAACGAAAAGCTCATGGTACTGTTCACTTTAATGAAAAATCATTTTTTTAGACTGAAAAATCATTTTTTTAGGCTAAAAAATCAATACTGGTACTATTCATTTTACCATTTATTTCGTTCTTATCGTTAAAATTCAAAATTTTCAAAACATTTTCATTAGTTTTCCTAAAAAATAACCCTTTTTCCGTTTTGAGAATATATATTTATTTTTTTATTACAATCAGTCTTATTATTAATAATCTAAGTTTTTTTTTTGTCAAAATTAATAATCTAAGTTACACTAAGATCGGAGCGTTTAAACCGGCGACAAAATAAATTAAAGAAAAAAGTCATATTCTTTAGACAATCCGACACTTACATAATGTTATAAAAGAAATAAAAAGGAAAAACTTCAAAAAAAACCGTGCATGAAATTAAGGGCTGGTTTGGTATTGCTGTGCTTTGAAAAAAAGCTGCTGTGAGAATAAGCGGCTGTGCTGTGAGAATAAGCGGCTGTGAAATAAAGCCAGTAGAGTGTTTGGTAAACTTTTTTGTGAAAGTGCTTTTGGAAAAAAAATCAGGATGATAGTGTGTCTTTTCATTAAAGAAGCACTGTAGCTCCGTGTGCTTTGAAAAAACTGGCTTTTTTTCAAAGCAGCAAATAGCAGCTTCAGCTTTTCCTTTGATTTTCAGCTTATTCTCACAGCAGCTTCCAAAATAAGCCTTTTTTTTTCAGTTTACCAAACACAAAAATGACCCTCAGCTTTTTTTCACAGTAGCTTTTTTTAAAATCACCTCAATCCCAAACGGGGCCTAAGTGCACGTCTACATGGATCCGGCTTCTCTACCTTCCCAATTCCCATACATTTCTATCCCCTTTTATTTTGTACGGTCACGGTTAAACTACATTAACATTTTATATTGATTTTTTTATAAAGATAATAAGACAAAAAACAATAATGATATAAAATGTTAACGTGGCTTAACCGTGACCGCACAAATAGGAGGAGATGTGAGTGTATGAGAATTGGGAGGGCAGAGAAGCCATGTCCATAAAGAACACGCCTAGCACAAGCTTTCCACATAAATACGAGAGACAGGCCCTACAGTCCTAGGACTACCTGTCAAGATTAGGCTTGGGTGAGTGATTTTTAGGGAACTGTATCCTCTCCAGATCCAAGAGATCTGAGCCAACTGAGCAATGCATCCAGACCATTGAAATTTGATTCAACGGCCATAAACAAGTAACCCCTCTAAAGTTATAATAATTGTAATCGTTTGATCAAATTTCAATGATCCGGATGCTTTGCTCAGTGGGCTTATATCATTTTGGATCCAGAGAAGATCCAGTTCCGATTTTCAGAAGGGATTGAAGGACAATTGGTCATGAAATTATCATAAACTGTTTATATGGTTTAAGTCATTTACAAATCTTTTTTACATGTTTTTACAATGCTTATACAGTGTTTTTATAATCTCTCGTATATAGTATTTTATAATTCATTTTTTACTAAATTGGTCTTAAGTTCACAGGGCTAGAATCCTTCCCCCAAACATCGCTCAGAGGACTCGCACCCTCCAAATAAAGTAGACAACAATACTACAATTGACATAAGTTTTTGTGTGGTAGTGAATTATTGTCACATGCGCTCGTGTAGATACTAATATGTAGATAAATTACGAGAAGTGAATTCTATATACTTCTTTTCATTGCACTCTCTTTTCATTTTTTATATGAATTGAATTTAGAAGAATTTAGGAAACAAAGTAGCCCAAAATGATCTATGTTAAAATTATTTGTATAAACTCTAATACACACACACACAAAACAATTAAGGGTAAATAGCCAAAATGGTCCCTGAGATTTGCATAACTCATCACTTTGGTCCCTAACATTTCAAATCAATCAAAGTGATCCCTGAGATTGTCCACCATCCATCATTTTGGTCATTCCATTAAAAACTCCGTTAAGTGTCCCGGAGCTCTTGGTCGGAAGTTTGGGCAATTTTCAAAGCTTTGTAACTCAACCGTTTCTTAATCAAATTCGACCCATAATATATCAAAATGAAGATAGGAAAGTGTAGAATAAGATATACCCATTTAGAAGCCCAATGGTTGTCAGAGATGGCCGGAAAATAACCTTAAAGTTGACTGATCCGAGAGAAAATCGGAAAACTCGCCGAAAACTGAGTAAACTTTAAACATTCATAACTTCTTCAATACTCAACGAAATCAAGTGATTCAGAAACGAAAATCATACTTCTCGATGAGATGAAGAGAATGGTACCTTTTTACATGGCTAAATCGCTGTGGTTTGGCAGAAAAACCGCTCAAAAGTGGCCATAGACAGCCACTTTCGAGCCGTTTTCCGGCCAAACCATGGCGAGTCAGCCATCTAAAAAGGCACCATTCTCTTTGTCTCATCGAGAATTATGATTTTCGTTTTTGAATCACTTGATTTCATTTAGTATTGAAGAAGTTATGAACGTTTAAAGTTTACCCAGTTTTTGGCGAGTTTTCCAGTTTTCTCTCGGACCAATCAATTGAAGCTATTTTCTGGCCATCTTCGGCAACCATTGGGCTTCTAAATAGGTATAAATTATTCTACACTTTCCTATCTTCATTTTGATATATTATGGGTCGAATTTGGTTATGAAACGATTGAGTTACGAAGCTTTGAAAATTGCCCAAACTTCCGGTCAAGAGCTCCGGGACACTTAACGGAGTTTTTAATGGAATGACCAAAATGATGGATGGTGAACAATCTCAGGGACCAGTTTGATTGATTTGAAATGTTAGGGATCAAATGATAAGTTATGCAAATCTGAGAAACCATTTTGGCTATTTACCCAACAATTAATGATGTTCCATTCCAACCTGTACAGTCGACTAACTGATAAACTAAATATTAATATTATATACAAGTAATTTTAGCATTGTTTTTTTAGGACCATATATGTTTTTAATTATAAATGAATTTTTTTTGAATTTTTTGCAGTGATGATTTATGAATGATAAATTGAAATATAGACGGTTCAGATATTTAAAAAAAAAAGTTATGAAATGAAAACTACAAAAAATTGTGTCAAAATACACGCACACACATTTAAGGATGTGTAGCATTAGGTATAATTTTTTTTTTTTCATATCAATAAATTTCCTTTGTACCTTGAAATTTTCTAAAAAAAAACAAAAAAAAAAAAAAAAACAAAAACGTGGCAGAAGGCCACTTGTGATGAGTGCTTAATTCTAAAATGTAGTATCTCTCAAACGTTTGAGTATTACTTTAGTCATGGAATGCTGATCAATGTACAATTAAATAGTATCACTTGGAATCATAACTCTTGGCTTATGGTATGAAAACAAAAATACAGAACATTTGTATATTGCTTGCAAGCAATTAGCTTCAGTAGTAAACTCCAACAACTTGATTAAGAAAGCATGTAGGAAATTTCCCATGCTTGGCTTAGTTGAAAATAGCAGATAAGTCAACAGTGTATTTTAAATTACTGTTACTTAATTATTTTAAATTTCATAATCAATATTAATTACCAGTGGGTGTACTTTAAATTATGCCTGATTAATTATTTTAAATTTCATAATCATAGAAAACTAATAGCTTATTATATACTGTTGTCAATATCGTGAGTTCGGCTGTTGGAAAGGTTTTTTAATTAAGCTGACTATGAGCTGCAAATAATATGCGTCGACACTGTTTTGCCACAAATTGGTGTATTGAGCAAATAATACCAATTACTTCAACAACAAAAAAACAGTTACAACTAATTATTTTTTTATCGTCGATTGTTAGTTACAAATATAGCTCAAGTCCCATGACCTCGTAATATTTTTATGAAAATTTTCATTTCCTTTGTCAACTAAAAAAAAAGCTCTTTGTTTTTGTTGTTAAAAAACGGCTTTCCAATATTATATAATTCCCACTTGATCAAACATTTGAAATAATTATTCAACAAAAAAAAAAAAACAATTGCGATAATTATAATCCATCCATCTCAACTATTTGCAGTTTTACTTAAAAAAATATATTCCACATACATCTCAGTCATCCATTTATGATCACATGACTAAAATTTCACCTACGTCTCAATCAACCATTTATGTTAAAATTGTC